AGGAACTGGCATCTACTGGAATTTTATCTATGCTTTGAGACCAATATGGCACCTTCTCTCTCATGCATATTTTGAGACAAAGTACAGAAAAACATTTCTAATATATTCCTCACCAACTTTGCTGTTTTGCCTGAAGTACAAAAAGAAAAAAAAGGAGTCAACATCTACCCATCTAGTCACAGACGTGCATGACACCTTTTAGCAGGTTCATCAAGCTGATAATTGCTAAAGTTACTGCTATACTTGGCTGCTTCTGTTTCCTGCTTCCTTGTTACAGAACTACCAAGGGAAGTGGAGGGACATGCAGGGGCACAGCTTCTCTTAGTGCTGAAAACAGAGGCCACTTGTGAAACATTTTTCATCTGCAGAGCAAAGCTAACACTTATCAGATGTGGTGCATGCAACAGTCACAAAACATGTATTTTTAAAAGTCTCTGAAAGTGATGCAATAACCTCAGGAACCAAGCCATCGCCCTCAGATTCAAACATCTCTAAGGCTGGTTGCCTGCTGGCTTTTGCTGATGCTTTCAGAGCATCACATGCAGGAAGAGACTGCTGAAAAGTTTGTCCCAGTTACAAAACAGAGCCAAAAGGTTAAATGCAGCCCCTTACCCCAAGGCAGGATATTCTATACACTGTATAATTCAGATAGTAAACAGAAGCACATATAGTGTCCTACAAACTGTACCATCTGAACAGATGCCTAGAGCAAAGAAACTAAATACAACACCATCTGTATAAAAATAATACCCAAGCCTATTTGACAAAAAAAATAGTATCCAAGCCTATTTGAGGAAAAAATCTTTTTAGAACAAGATCTCAGACATCATCCAACCTTCCCAAATAATGTTCTTAGCAGTACAATCACTTGAAGCAACATTCTCTTCCTACTTAATTGTAGTCCCTGCTACTCCAGAAGTAGTGAGACATGAGAAGAAAAAGAATGCTGTGATCTTAGATGACTGAAAACACTCCTGAACCACAACAGAAGAAAATATAATAAAAACCCCTATTACAGAGAAGTGTCTGAAGACACGGTGCTTTTAAAGTTAAATCAGTGATGTTCTTGCTTGCAAATCCCCCCAAAACAATCATTTTCATCTCTAGTCCTATGTGTCCAATAGATCTGTATTTCATATAAATATATATTTGAAGGTTCAAAACAAGGATATTTTATTCTGAACCCTTTTCTTCAGTCCTATTAGCAACAGCATTGGAGAATGAAATGCTCCCCTGCTACATTCAAACACTAAACCATCTTAGGCTACTTTTTGAAAATCCATGTCTTGTTTGCATGGATTTCCCATTTTGAAAGTTGTTTCCAATGTCAATTTATAGGCAAGCATACTAAGATCTTTGTCCCAATAGATGAACAATGAAATTTCACTTCTGACTGGTTATCCATGTGCATGGCCCAGCAATGACATAGATTCCCAGCTCCTCAATTTCCTGCAAACTCCTAGATTTGCAGCAAATAGGACAAATGAAGAAGCAGCCCAGAGGTAAGACCCTATTTCAACTTTTAGCATCCTATTATATGAATGAAACATAAATGCAGAATAGAAGCAAACTGAAAGAAGGCAAAAGTAGTCTTGGACTAAATGGGAGCTCTCGTCACATTAAAAAAAAACAAAACCAAACTTACTCATTTTCACATCACACAACATACTCTTTTAAAAGCCAAGAACACAGTGCCTAGGCCTACATGTACACTAACCCATGGGGTGAATTATTGAATTTCTGAGTGGTGTTGTGCAAATTCAGCCATGGTAACAAACCACAGTTTGTTAACCATGTACAACACAGAAAATAACCTATGGTATGTTGCTGTGTTGTAAACTTTGGTATGCTAAACTCTGGGTGATTATTATGTGTGAACCTAAGCCTTTGAGATATATCAATAGGCTACAGAAGTGTCAAGACAAGTGTAAAGAAGCACCATTCTACATGCACAGTAAAGGAATTTGGGATGCAAGGAAGGAATGGGCAAATTCCACAACTTTTTTGTGCTTCACATGTAGGACAGGTCTTCAAAGGTATTTATTTTCATTTTGTTGAAAAACTAAGACTGAGATTATATGTTGCTTGGAGCTCCAAAACCAGGTCTCCTAAACAAAGGCCAGCTTTTAAGTCACTGGACCACACTAACTTTGGCAGTGTGAAGACAGAAGTGCAGACTAAATCCGTAATCCTATGAATGTTTACTAGGCAGTAACTCCCACTGAAGTCAGCAGGACTTGATTTTGCCTGAATATGCATAGATTTGGGCAGGAAAACACCAATATATTTCTCTATGAAACATACACACAGCAAATATGAAGCACAAAACAATGTGTTATATTTCTGATGCCCTGAGTAAAACTTCTTTAAGGGAAACTGTCTTTATAGATGGTCTCAATCATCATAGCCAAAATATTTCTTCATAAAATAAGGCAGCAAACCAGTTCAAATTTTCTCCAAGAAGTTAACTGCCTAAATGTGTTGCCTGTTTTGAACAGTTCCTATAACTTAGGAAGAAATATTTCAACCATGACAACTTCCTCTTTTAAAAAGTATTTTATTCAACGTATGGACAACAAAGATTCCCCCCACCCATATACTGCAAGTAGTTGAATTTTCCTTTGCTTTGTCATTCTTCTGACACCATGTATTATTTCAGGTTTGGGGGTTTTTTGGGGGATGGTCTTCTTAAAAATGAGGACAATTATCCATTCCAAAAATAAAACCTCCATAGTTTTACAAAGAGGAATGTCCCAAACCATATCTTTATAGTTTGGACTAATTGGTCCAGAGTAATCAAAGTGCTGCTCCAGACTCCTTCTGTCAGTAAGGCAGGTGCCTACTAGAAGCAGGGCCTTTTTATTGTGAGACCCATTCAAAAGAATACCTCAGTGTTGTATTCCTTTAGGTGTCTGACTAAAACATGGCTGTTCACAAAGACTTTCAGCTGAACATTTCAAGCCTGTCATGTGCTCAATGCCATTCCCTTATATTTCTTTTGTAATGGCTTTAATCCATTGTTGCACAGCCAGAGTTTTCCTTGCTCACCTTCTCATTACAACCCACTCAGCACCCAATCCTTCAGAGCAACTATGGAGGGGAACATGGGGGAGGGATTGAGTCCACCTGACTGAAAAAAGGATTTAAACCTCTTACATCAGTCAATCAACCAACAAACTAACATTTGCTCACTATAGCTAGGAACTTATCAACCCACTCGTAGCCAGTTTTTACATCTGAAATAAAAACAGGTGTTTTTATGATCTGTTTGTGAATTGGTGGTTCAGAAATTAGTTCTATACATTTGATGTACTTAACTCTGTGCTTTGTTTAAGAACTTCCTATTACCATTTATTCCATACTATTCCAAGAAGAATAATGATGACAAAAGTGCAAATGAACTTCAGGTGATAAAGTATTTTCTTGGCTTAGGGAAGCACATTATGAATGTATCTTGCAGTTTCACTATAAAGGATCAATTGTTGCACAGCATGCTTCTCTAAGCCAAGGGGGGAAAAAACCACCACAAGTCCACCTTTCGTTTTGTCATAATTGTTGTGCCCTTCCCTTCTCTAATAGCTAAGAACTATACTATCTCTCTGTCTCAAGAACTGATGAGAAGACAACTTTAATATGCAGTTATAGATGATGAAGGCTAGGGGTAAGCATTCTGCTCTAGACAAATCTGCAAGCCAGAAAATATTTTATTGGCTTCAAGGAACATTTTAGAGCCTTCTCCTAGTGACAGGCTTGTTTCTTTCAATATTCTGCTTCACCTACCTAAGAAAGCTGAAAGAGCAGACTTATTAACTCATGTGGCTCTTTAAGTACAGATATGAGAGTCCTAGGAAATACTAGTTCTTCATTTAGAGAACAGCCATAGCCAATTTTCTGACTACAATCCAAACCTTTAACACCAAGAAACCACTGCCGTAGTGTGACAGACCTAAATCCCGAATACTAACAAGGGTAGTAAGCTCTACTGAATGTAGTGGAACTTTCTTCTAAGTAAACATGTGCAGAATTGCACTGACAGGCCCACAGTTTGTATCATAAAATCTTCCCCATCCCCCAAACCAAGAGACCCACCGAGGCCTAAGAGAACCCAAAGTCAAAACTTCCGTGCTCCTTGATGCCTCCACTCCAAGATACCCCACATCTTCATTTATTTAGATGACAAACCCCACTTTAAAGGTCTGGGTTAGACTCGGAATGTACCATATAAACAAATCACTTCGGTGAAATTTAAGGGTTTTTTTAAAGGAATTATAGCTACCTTCAGGTTTGGACAGGCCTCCAAGGAAATAAGTTTGGCAGTTGCTCTTCTCCCGCAATCCCCACCCCACCGTGAGCTACTGGTGTCTTGCAATCTTATTGCCCCCACTTGACGGGCTCAGCAACCATACTAATTCTGGGATGCTCCAAGCCAACAGGATCCCCTCCTTTAAATGATGCTGCACAGCTCTCAAGTCCCCCATATTTATGCTTTCCCTGACCTACCCCTAAAAGTTTATAGTAACACTTCTCACCCCAAAATCGCTCCCAACATCTACCATGCTCCCACACCTGCATGCTCGCTTTCTTCTCCGCCAGACATCTTCCTTTCAGACTCCGACCATCCGATTCTGGATTATATCCTTAGTAGGCTAAAATCTAACCCTTCTGCGTACATAAATATATATATTCCTTACATGTACCAAATTCCTCACATTCGTTCTCACATACCAAGGAAAGCCATTACTGAAGTGTATTGCTAAACCCGATTCTAAACAGATGTTCCTCCAAGGATCAGGCATGCTCCCTTCACGTACCCCCAGAACCTAATCTCATTCCCACCTGGCGATAATCTCAACTCCCTCCGAAGCCCCACCAGCACCGCCACGAAGATGCAACACTTCGGTGTTTCTACAGCCCTTGCCTTCAGCGCAATCCTATGAGCATTAGCTCCACACTGACACGCGCGCGAACACACACGCACACACGTGCGCCTCCCCACCTACTTGGAATGGAGCGGCGTGCCCCATGGGCCGGTATGGAGTGGCCCCGGCCGGGCTGGGTCCTCTCAAGAGCCCCCCTCCCGGTCCGGGAGCCGTGGGGGGAGGGACGGCGGCAGCCGCCGCTATCGAGGCGGCCGGCGGGGGTCCCCCCGGGGGCGGCGGCGTAAGCGGAAACCCGCCGCGGCCGGCCATGGGAGGCGGGGGGAGCTGCTCGGCGAGGGCAACGGCCGCAGGCGCTCCGAGCGCGCCTGAGGAGAGGAAGCCGCACTGGCCGATCGACGAAGCGGGCGCCTCGGAACGCGCGGGGGGCTCCTCCTCCGGGACCGCCCCGTCAACCGCCAGAGCCCAGCCTGGCCCTGCAGGGGGGGCGGCGGCGGCGGACGAGGGAAGGAGGGCGGGAGACAAACAAGCGCCTCTTGGGACGGGCTGCCTGCCTGCCTGCCTGCCTGCCTGGCGTCCCAGCGTGGCCGCTCCGAGGCGCCAGAGAATCGCCTCAGACGCCGATCGGGCGCTGGTCACGAGGGCAAACACACGCGGACGCGGCGCTCTTCCGCGTGTGGACTCGGAAGTCAGCACCTCATGGTGTTCAAAGGGATTCCTCCAGGGGAGCGGGAAGCCTTGGAGCAGAGCCTCGAAGCTCATGCACAGCACGAATAAGTTAGGGAATTTTACTCTTTGAGCTGACAGTACACACCTATACGGTTCCGCTCAGAAGGAACTTCCATTGTTTCCAGAGAGGCTTATGCCAAGCTGTTGTGTAAGGACTGCTACCGAATGATTTTACTCGCCCCCGCCCGATCGTACCTCAAGTTTCGAGGACAATGTGGATTATTTTACTACCGGGGAGGAGGATCCCATCCAGCCTGGGAATCAAATCCCAGTTTGGGGATTTCCAGTTGTGGGCGGGGCCACAAATATTAGCATATTTTCTTTTTAAAGCTGTAACTGTTGGTAACTGAGCATTCTAACCCTTTAAAACGGGGCGGGGGGAGCTGCGGGGGGGGTACAGGGGGCGTGGCCACCAGGTGAACGCTGCTGGATGCCCAGGCCTGCGGATCTCGCTCGCTGCTTTACGAACTAAAATGGACCTCGTTCCAAAAGTACTAAGCCAGCCCTGCGGCTTTTGGGAGCTCTCCTCACGCTGCTGAGCGGGGCCCTGGCCCTCAGCCTGGAAGACCTGATCTGACTTCTTCACTGCCCTTCTGTTCAATTGCACATATCGCCCAGTAAGTGAGTACAGCACACTTTCTTGAGAATTTCAGTTAAAAAAGTGCATAAGGAATGGGACCCATGAAATCACATGCAGCCTTCCATTGTTTTTCCATTTGATAGGAAGCTAGGAGTGGACCAAGCTCGAGCTTAAGTAGTTGTCATCTGTATTACCTTCAGCTCAAGTAAACAAGACACACGCAATGAAAAATAAAAATGGGCACCTTTAGGAAATTAATATGCACCAGTTTACGTATCGCTGAGGCAAAGGGGGTGTTTGCACAATGACAGTCCACTGTGAATTATTTAAGAGACAGTGAGGCTGGGATGGCTACAGCCGGCAGTGTGAGCATGTAAACCTTGCTCGGGGTCGTCATGTTATGTCAGGCTTAAACAACCCTCAGTTGTTTCACTCTTACATAAGTTACACTCACTAGGTTCACATAACATGACAACCCCAGAGCAGGAGTTGTATATGCAATCTGGTGCCTGTGGACACAGCAGCTCATCATGACCTGCAATGAGTGTGGCATGTTCCCCAACCTGGTAATACAGTTTGTTATAGCTACTACCAAGTTTCTCCATCACATTCATTTTCATTACCTGGATTAAATATACAGAATTGAAGAACAGGTGCATAATGCCTAATGGTCATTATAGCCCTTTAATAATCTACATAGTCATTTCTGTTCAGAGAGGCAGATGAGGAAATAGTTTTTACAATAATATACCCTTAGGTCAGGTTGCTGAGCAGATGCAGTAGACCTCATTTTTTTCTCAAAGCAGATTTGATGAAGAAAGTATATACTGTGTGGGATAATAGCAAGCATTCCCTTCTTTCCTCTTGCCTTCTTGAATGGCATTAGATTTTTGTTAACACAAACTGAAAGCCTGAGGCAGCAATTTCATTGCAATCTTATTCCAGTTTATATTCTTAGGACACAGTTATTGAGAAGTCTGGAGGCTTACCCAGTGGTTTCAATCAGAGGATAGAAGGTGATAAACCAGGAAATGCAATTTTCAAAGAGTCTTAGAGGATCTTGTTTTCTCTTGGTCCAATATATCCAAAACGTAACACCATATGAACTCTACCATTCAGCTGGCAAGCTATCTAGGTAGTTGTTACAATTTTAAAGCTATTATGCCCAGACATCTGATTGAAACCCTCCACTTATATAGCAGATGATCAAAGTGTATGGGCCTTGAGGTAGATGACACAAATGAGTTTAAGTTTTGGCACTCTTATTTCATCGTTTCTTCATTGAATGTCAGAATACTCTTCCGGAGAATAACAGGGTAGCATTAGCTATCTGACATCTGAAGGTTAACTGCTCTTTGATCAACACAGGGCCATCTGATCACTTTTCTAATACCTGATAGTAATGCCCTAAAGTGAGGCTAAAGAGATAATCCAAGGCAGTGTCCAGTTTTAACTTAATCAGACTCGGCATTTGAACAAACCCAAAAGGCAGAGCAGGCAAACAATCAAGCGTAAAGGTTTCAGTCCAGAATGGGATCAAGATATAAGCAAAGATTAAAGTAAACAGTGAGATACATTATATAATCCAGAAACAGAGTCAAGCAGGAGTCCAAGGGTCAGTAGCACGGAGGTTCAACCAGAAGGCAAGGTCCAGAAAGCAGTGTAGAAGACATGGAAGCTGAAAGAACATTGTTTCCAGCAATGGCTAAGCTGAAACTGAAGGCTTGTATTGCTAGAACCCCACCAAGGGATCAGCTATAGTTCATTATAGACCTCTGGAAAGGGTCCTACTCATAAGGAGATGTTTTCTCATGAAGTATCCTCCTTTGTAAATGAGTGCCTCTTCTCAAGAGATATTTGCTGACCTGCCTCTTGATGTGCTGATGATACTCCTATAGGTTGGGGTGGTGGTAATATTACTCAGCCTCTGCTTCAGAGGCAAATTCCCCTACCCCTTACAGAAATACACATACGGATATTAATCCCTCCCTACTTTCACTCAAGCAGGGCCCAACCTCCTCCTGGACTTCTGACATGGACTGATCCTGGGTGCTCTTCATCTCTGAAAACTCTTAATGGTTTCCCTGAGGAGGATTTTCTTTCCCTGGTGGGGCAAGATGGCTCAGGGAGCAAGAAAAGAGAGAGTCCAAGCACATGTGGGAAAGACAGGGAATCTAAGGGAAGGAAGAGAAAATAGAATTCTGCCATGGGGAACAAGTAAAGAGATAATCCAAGTAAAGAAAAGAGAAGCTCCAACAAATGACCAAGGACTACCGAAGAGAATCCTGAAAGCAAATGTTCAAAGGTCCAAATGACCATGGGACAAATGCATGGTCAGGTCCCCCCCAAAATGAGAAATGTATCTGCAAGGCTGAAAAGGTTGCCTATCCTTGAGATTAGGTTGTGTTTTTTTTGTGGGCTGCAGCGCAGAGTGGGGTTTAAAATAAAGCATTTGGTAGTTTGAATTTGGACATAGGCACATACAGAGTCTGGGGGCTCTAAGGTGAGATCTTTATCATTATATTTTCCAGCCTCATTCATTTATGAAATATACTGGAGAGTTCAGATATTGTACTCTTCTTCTTTTGACTCTTCCATGTTTTTCTACTGCCTCTTTTTCTTTGCCTCATTCTTGCAGAATGATACCAGTTCACTGGGCTTCTTGCTGAACCCATCCCAGGACTTCATCCAGACTCTCCTTGCCTCTTCCTCTCCCCTCTGGTCTAGGAGAGCCATGGAGCTCTTGAGCCTCCTGCTAGCCCTAGCTAAGTTGGGCACCTCCTTCTCATGCTGCTTGCATCCCAGTTGAGATACAAGTAGCATGGAAAGGGGCTTCAATAGGGCTTACAAAAGCTGGGTCAAGCCCACAACTTCCCCATATTAGCTCCAATAACATGGGATTTCCCCTATGCTTGTCTCCCATCCCAAGATAATATGGAACCATAGAATAGTAGAGTTGGAAGGGGCTATGAAGGCCATTGGGTCCAACCCCCTGCTGTTGCAGGACACCACATTACACCATCCTACTCAGATGGCTTTCCAGTTTCTTTTTGGATGTCTCTTATATGGGAGAACCCACCACCTCTCTAGGCAGCTGGTTCCACTGTCATATTGCTCTGACAGTGAAGAAACTTTCCCTGATATCCAATTGAACCTGGTTCTCACAACTTGACTTGATCATTCTGTGTTCTACACGCTGGTATCAGCAAGAAGAGATTTTGACCTTCTTCTTTGTGACAGCCTTTGAGGTACTTACAGAGTGATATCATGTGCCCCCTCAGTCTTTTCTTCTCAAGGCTGAACATGCCCAGTTCTCTCAGTCTCTCCTCATAGGGCAGTGTTTCCAAATAGAGATTCCTTTCCTCCTGCAAACCACAAGGCCAGGATCTGTGGAAGGTGCCCAACTCTTTCACCAACTAGGTTGGTCATCCTTGTAAATGAGAGGTTTCCTCTCCTGAGATGGTAATAAATCTGTGAACATGTTCCTATTCAGCAGTGGTATATTGTATGTATACTGTGGTTTAATGAACCCATGTGATTGTAAGCATATGCTTACAATTCAGGCTGCTGAATACTGCTGGCATGTGAGAACAGTTGCAGTGTCAAGTCTTCTCCACCTACCTGTGTCTCTTCATGTTCCAAATATTTGGCTATAATAAGGACTGAATATTTTGTGATGTTTCAAACCCTGCCCAGCCCACTTCATTGCAGGTGGTGGTGGTGGTTTTTTTAATCGTAGAACTTCACTAGGTGAACCGTTTTAATTGTCCTCCATTAAACTGAATACAGGGGCAGGGGTGTGCTCTCTTCTGACAATAGAATAGTCACTTGATGTTAATAAGTGCCTTCAGATAAGGAACATTAATGTTTCAGTATTTGGACTTTTATTCCTATCTTCAGGTTGTGAGTTGAAGCTATGAAGAATGTACAAGACTCCACAGGAACTGAAACAGGGGTCACCACTGCCTCAGGTACCCCCCACCAGTTGTACTATAAATAATACAATTTCAAACTTTTAACATTACATTTGTCAAATTCAGTTTAAAAAACAGGGAGACATATGCCTTACTTATAGCTTGGCTCCATTATCAGTTTAGTAACATGCATTTTACAAAGTGTTAAGGGGCTATTACCATATGACTTCTGGTCAACTGGGTCATGCTTTGCACCATTATTCTTGTATAAATGTATATCCAGCAAAATGAGGTGGTGGAAACTTTAGCCTTTTTGCTTCAAAAATATCAGAAATGTGGGGAGAATGCAAGAACCAGGCACACAGTTCCTTGTAGAGGAAAGAGACCCATCAGCCACAAGAGGGCCTGCTTTGTTGCTGAAGGAGAGAAAGAGAGGTCTTTCTCTCCCTCTTTCATTCTTTTCTCTAGCCAGGATGTGGAATTGAGCTTCCTGGATTTTGCAGCTTGCAGCTGCTTCCCCTAAATTCCCCCCCCCCCTTTCATCCGAGCTCCCTGCAGGGGGGCGAGGATTTCTCTCTAATCGGCCATCACCATTCCCAGGGCAGGCCGCACACTGCAGTCCCGGGCGAGCTGCAGGTAAATGATCTGGAATTAAGGCGGTGGGGAGGAATGTACAAAGAGTGACCCAGCCTCTTCCATTCCCCCCACCTCCCACTTCCTCCTCCCGCCGCCTTTACAAGGTCCGATGCACAAGGAAGAAACAATGGAGGTTGTGCAGGACATAAATGGACCCTGGGCAAGGCGGGGGTGATGTGATTGCAATCCAGTCACTTTTCCTTTTCTTGCCTGGTTCTTAAGCACTGGGCTGAAGGTGGCCAGGGAGTGGGGAGCTGGAGGTGGGAATGCTGCAGTATAGTAATGTAATATGGAGGAGGATCTATCTGATAGGGAGGGAGACGGAGGCTCCAGTTCCCTGTAATTGCCTTTTGTAACCATTCCACCCATTTGTCTCAGTCCCTCTTCCTCAGATTAGAACAGATATGTCTCTCCTCCAACAAAGTGCCTCTTCCTTTAATTTTTTGCTCCACCACCTCACCGTAGTATTACTCCAATTTTTCATGTGCATATTTGTGTAGCTCACACTGTTGTTTTGTTTTTTGCATGGGCTTGTTCACTTAACATGATAATTTGTGTCTGTATTGCATAATATTAGTCAGTGACCACATGTCCGGTGGGGAGACCAACCTGGCAGGTCCTTGAGTGTAACATTGCGTACAATTAAGGAAGTGGGTTCCAACTGGTGAAAGCTTTGTGCCATAATATGACAGTTAGTTTAAGCGAATTAGTTGTTTTGGCTACAACAGACTAACTCTGCTGACCCCTTGGAATTTGTTCATGGCTAGTGCTACTTCTTTATCCTTTGTATCTTATACCTGTGGTTTTTCTTCACCAGACTGTCCTACCAGTCTGTGAGGAGTTTGAACCCTGAACTAAAGTAGAACTAACAGAGCAAACACGACTGGGAACATTAAGTTATGTACAGTTACAGAGAAGCCAAGAGCTGTTGCCGTACTACAGAAACAAACATAGATTTGCTACTGATATACACTCAAGAGGGCTCTGCAGCCTGTTTGCTTGTTTGCTTGTGTGATACAGGATGTTCTTTAATGCTTGCTCATCACATCACACTTTACATGTTTAGAAGTAGACTGGGTTTTATTGGTATACACCAGAAAAGCGGTATTCAGAGCAGCTAAGGTTTTTATTAGATAATCATTATCTGTATTACAGATGTGAAGAACTGTGTACAAATCTTGGATAGCCACCTTCCTCCCTACAGTGACTTATATTTTGTTGCAAAGTTGCTTTGTTTGTGTTTTCGAAGGCTTAATATTTGAACAACTTACAAAAATGCCCATGGTTCAGATGCTTTCACAGTCCGTATGGTTGTGAGGGAACAGTGACTTTTATAGCATAGTTAGATGATGCCCTGCATATAAAATGAAAAAATAAATTTATTAAGGGTCAGTCCTATGCATGTTTAGGCAGAAAGGAGTCCTACAGTTTCTAGAATTGCCCAATGGCTAGCTAAGGAATGCCGGGAACTGCAAGCCTTGTTCTCTCTAAAAATGCATTGGCCGGCACCCTTTTCTTAAACTTTGTTGTTCTTGCTGCAACAGACTAACATAGCTAGCCTCCTGCCACGGTATATAACAAATTGCGTAGGGCATTTGTGATTATATCATTCAGGTTCTGATTTGTGATTAAATCATTCAGGCATTTGTGATTATATCATTCAGGTTATATTTATCCAGGTCCAGATAAATGTAAACTATGTTGGCACAGTTTTGCAGGTTTGTGGATTGGTTAGTAGTTTCACTTCAATTTATGTTTCAAACTTCTTGTTATATAGCAATGCTCACACTGCTCAGAAAAAAAGTCAGTACTTTCTCCTACTGAATGGTTATTAATTTGGATTTGTATCCCATCCATAGCCACAAGCCAACTGGGTTCCCCTTAAATAAGCCACTATCTCTCAGTCTCAGTGTTACGGCATTCCAGTCTGCATTATGGGGATAATAAAACTGACCTATATTACTGGCTTTCTATATGGTTATAATAAGAAAAAAAATGAGGAACAACAAAGCAGCATAAAACACAGCATAAAGTCAATATATTCTGCTAGTCCACCAAAGTTATAAACATTGCTATTAACAAAAGCTTGGGCAAATAAAAATATTTAATTTAGCAAAGGAAATAGAACAGTGTTGTTGTCTGGGAATACTGCTAGGAATCCTCTTTTATAACTACGGCTGCTCTCTTGTGAAGGCTCTGCTACGCCAAGTACCTCCCTCAAAGGAAATCGCTTTGAGTAGAGCCTCCCTGTGTACCTTCAGGAATGGGGAGGCACATAGTGGCTGATATAACCCCAGCGTTATGCAAAGCTGCTCCCTCTTAAAACCTCACAAAAAGATAGCATTTGCCCATTTGGAAAATATATATATTTTTTCCATTTAATTTCTGCCTCCCTCTCATCTCATTGCTACATAGAGCTGATTGCGAAAATCACTGTGTTGATATATACAGGTAGTCCCTGCGTTAAGAACAAGTTCTGTTCCTGAGAACGTCCTTAAGCTGACTTTGTATGTAAGTTGGAGCACGTGAGTAGGCCAAAAGTTTGTCTTAGTATATGTATATATTTTACTGTCTTATGCATATAAAACATTTATTTATTTAAAACATTTGTATGCCACCCAATTGTGCCACAACACCTTAAATGGGAAGGCCCACTTAAGAAACACCTCCATATTCACTAAAACATCTTAACACAATGCAGCATTGTAATAATGATAATAATACAGTAAGAATAAAGTAACTGCAGGGACTGAACAGAGAGACAAACTGTATGTGTGTGTGTGTGTGCATGTAGGCATCCAGTATTGTAAAAACAAATAAAAGCAACAGTTCTTTGAAACAGTTGAGAACATTCTTAAGGTTACATTAAGCCTAACATTAACTGATGGTGAGTGATGGACCTGGTGCTGGAGTGGAGTCAGGGTTTAATTGTGCTGCTGGAGAGTTGGAGCAGGGGTTACTACTGGAGCCTAGGGTCTGGACGCTGCAGAATGAAAAGCCGTGAATACTGTATCTTTAGGGAACTACACAACCACAAAGACACGCATCACAAAGTGTGTCACATAGTTTCCTAGAGATAGTCATGACTACCTCTAACAAAAAGCCATTTATCTCTCCAGTGAATCTCTATCTCTATGTAAAGCCATGAATATCTCTAGGGAATTACATGCCCACTGGTGACACATTGCCAAATGCATAGCTTAGCTCCCTAGAGCTATTTCCTGCTTTTTTCTAGAGATATTTATATAGTGTTTATGGGAGTCCGTATGTTCGTTAAGTATGAGTTGTTCATCACCTGGACATTTGTAACTTGGAGACTACCTGTAATGCTTTCCTGTAACCATCGCATTGCACAAATGATTCAGTTCTTTTGATTTAGGCACTGTCAGGTATCTCTTTTGACAAGAGGGAGAAGACTTCAGGAACTTCTTGCAAGAAAGTACCTTTGGGGGCCGACATGCAGGAGAGCTACGAAACAGTTATTTCATTGGGTAAGGGATCCCACTGCTCAGACCAGCACAAGATCTTCACCTCCACCTGCCCACACCTTTTGCCCCTGCTGCATTTCCCTACCACCACCCAACAGGTTGCCATGTTTTCTACTCCCCCAGCATCCATCCTCCCATTCCAACTCCCTCCACCACCACACTTATACCCTGTATCTCCAACTTTCCTTCCTAGAGCTGCTGATCTCTGAAGGACCACATTGGTTGTAAAAAGCAGCTGATGCTGCTCTCCAAAGAGCTGGTTTAACCCAGATCCTTGGCTCTGAGACTAACCTTCCTCAGAAGCAGATGCCATGAAAGTAGGTCCCTGGAGGTTGCCTGTGCCACAAAGTGAACCAGGTGTCAGAGCAACAGAGAGTGGGTGTTGCTCTGAAGAGCCCCACTGGCTGTTCTTCCACTCTGGGTCACATTTGCAACTGTAGCGGGGCTCTCGAGCAACTGCCCACCTGGCAGCACCCACCTGCCAGCGGTTTTAAGACACAGCTTAAAGCAGCTTTCCTCAACCTGATGCTAAGGGACTACAGTGCCTATCATCTGCAGTCAACACAACTGCCATTACTTCTCATTGAGGAAGACCAAGTAAGTTTCCAGTGAACTCCTAGATTTCTTGGAGTACAATTGAAAAACAAAGAAAGCATATCCACCTCTGACCCCCGGAAAACATAAGTACCATTAGAACATTAAACATTATATCAGTTTGAGTCTCCCCAAAAGAAATTGCATTTGGTTGGAACTTTGCCTCACCCAATGTCCCATGCCTAGTTCTAGTGCTACAGAAGAAGTGGGGACTTTGTAACACTTCATAATACACACTTATTTTTAAGGCCATTTAAACATTATGTCTTTGGATGCTACACAGGAGAGAAGACCAGCCATTTTCTATTTGGGCAGTATCTTATTTGCTTTTATCCATGTGTTTTCTGTTCTCTTTCTGTCAGCGGAAGAAATTGCCATCAGCTGGCCCCGGATAACTGCGTTCACAGAGACCCGAGGACGTAGAGGCTTGGCTCCTGGTAAGCCCTTTCTGAGAAAGTTATTGGGTTTTTTTCTCCTTGTAAAGTGGCAGAGCAGCCTACAAATCCCTTTCCTTCCCCTGTTGAACCACTAGTGGAGTATTTTGGATTCCCCATTTCAAGGTTGGAGTGCTTTGACCTCAGGAGAGGCAGTTGGAATGCCAACATTCCTCTTAGTAAGCAAAGAACTGCACCAGCTGTTCTCCAAGGTTGGGAACTTGACCTCAGGGAAGGAGGCATTTTGGTGAGCAGGGAGGACAGGAGACTGGAAAAGCCAGTATATGAATTCCCCAAAGGCTTTCTAGTTTCTTTCCTGCCCCTTCAAGCAGGTCTCATCTAGACAGGCAAAAAAGCCTTCTACTGAAAAATGAAGGGTGGGAAGATGGAGAGGCAAATATTCCTGTGCCTTGTATACGAAAAGGAAGCTCGTAGCCCTCAAGTTCAGGGGCTAATGATCACTGAGGACACAATCCTACAGGTTGCCCCTTAGAAGAGTTAGCTCTAAGCTGTTCCTCTTCTGTTGGAAGTCTCCAGTTCTCAGCCTGAACTGAAAATGTTATTAGAGTTTGCTCTGATGTTCTATTATGAGTTTAATTCCAACCACTTTCCTAAATGTTTATATTTATTCATAGTTGTAGAAAATTCTAAGTAGGTAATTATTTCCCAACTGTCAGGTGCTCTGGTTTGAACACTCAAATGCTGGCCTGCAGTGCACAGTAGCCTGTGGCATCCCATGCACTCCCCCCTGCTCCATCACAGCTAGAGTGGTGGAAAAAAAAAAAGAGAGACATGAGGACCTCAAGCCCAAAGGCCTCCAGGCAGCATCCCTTTCCCTCAATCACCAGATCACCAGCTTTTGTGCAATTTTCTTCCCTTTCCCCCACCTTGAAATGCCTTTGCTATGGCTCAGTTATAAAAGTAAGAGCTTTAATTAAAACACACTAGTATTTTGGTGGGGTTGCACTTCCCTTTCTCTTTGCTCACCACTGGAATGTGACCCCGGAAGCCTCTGTGAAATGGAATGTGGCCCTCAGGCTGACAGCAGCTCTGCCTCCCATAAGCCCTCCAGCATGGTAAGATGAAAGCAGGAAGCTGAGGAGCAGCTTCCTTCGACAGCAGGTTGTCCACACCACAGAAGTATGGCATATCTTGGAGCTTTAAAACAGAGTGACATGGGATCAGCTACTGGGAACCATCTGCTTCCCGGGGCCCTTAGGATTCTGGTGGTGCCAGGAGTAGGTACTTGGCTCAGAGGTCTCCTAGTTTGAATTCTGCTCTGTCAGATACAAATACATTATATTCCATCAAGACCTTGTTAGTGGAAGCAGTCCTAGGTCAAACAAATCTAGCCACATTTTTATAAATTATCCAAAGGTTCTGATGGCACAAATGTGGCAGAATTTTAGCCCCAGCCTCATGAAAATTAGTTCAGGCCTTGGGTAACCAGCCCACAGAGCCTTTGGTTCACAGCAGGGTCCGGCATTCCTTGGTTTTTTTCCCCCTTTTCCCTTGTAGGCCTAGAAATGGAACCTGAGCAAGGGCAGCTGGCACCTTTGCAGGGCCAAGCAGCAGCAACGGCAGCAAGTCCAGCTGGCTCAAGTGAGGAAGGGATCCTGCCCAACTTCCGGAGGCAGCTTGGGGTAATCCTGCAGACTGTGGGCAAGGCTCAGGTGGAAAAGATGCTGCGGGAGTTGGTGAAGGAGCAGGAGCAACAGGGAAGAGTCAGACGGCGCAAAAGAGTGACCAGGAGCACCCAGCACAGAGGTAAAGGCCTTGCTATAGTACTGAGGCCAGTGTGCCTTATCTCCGAGCAGCAGAAAAAGCATAGCAGGGAGAAGCTGGCTTTGCACTACAAAATGCTTTTTTTTTTTTTTTTTTGCCTCACTATTTTAAGTCTTGACCCTATTTCAAATGATGATGTACCATTTAGAGCCACCCTGTTCACCCCACCAAGCTTCTTAACCTCCCTGCACAGTTGATGCTGCTCCTTTTTCTCTCTGTCTTCCCAGTAACCATTCAAAGTTGCCCATCCCAAGTACAGTGTGAGCTTTTCCGGGCTTCCCTCCCTCTTCCCTCTGCTTCGTGCCACCACAGCCCTTCTTTTCTGTATAGCACCCAATAAATAATGCAACCTAACAAGATGCATTCCTGCTTACTGGAACTGCATGATCAGCCCAACTTGTAGAATTTGGCTTGCTTGGAGCAGAACTTGGATTTGTTTTTCTGTCTAAGCACAGGACATAGTCTCAGGAATCCGCATTTTCTTTTTGCTCATGTGATACAAGGAAGGGCAGTAGAAATACCTTTCCTGATGAGGCACTGAGGTGTTCAAACTACTGTAGAGAAGCTGCAGTGCACACTGAATATGGGTTAAAGTGCTGGGTTTAACCTACAGAGACCTAAATGGCTCTGGTCTGGCATATCTTGAACCTAGCTCTTTCCCAAGGGAGCTATCCCATACTAAATCAGAGCATTGGTTGGTTGGCAGTGGATTTTCCAGCTCTTGGCCAGAAGTGTGCCTTTTGAGATAATCTCACGGAAATTCCTAGGCTGATTCTAGGCCCTTTTACAGATACAACAGACCTCGGCCACTTAGCCCCTCTGTAATCTGACTCACAACATTGTTACTGTGCTGCCAACTGTTACACAATGTGGAGGAGGGAGGTTATGATACATCTTGTAAACCCAGGGCGGGCGGAATCAGGGCCCTCCACATATTTATTGATTTATTTATTGCCCTTCTATACAGTCCCATAGGCTCTCTGGGTGGTTTACAAATTTAAAAGACATATAAATGACCAGTAAAATAATCATATTTAAATAAAATGGTAAGCAATAAAACCAATACAGTAAGATCAGCAACCCACAGCAACTATAAGAAGACTGATTTGTGGCATAGCCACAATAATAATAAAAACAATATTAAAACAATATTGCTAGGCGCCATCTCTTACCAATCCCAGTTAGTGTGGCCATGATCAGGAGTGACAGGCATTAGTTCCCATCCCTGTTGTTTATTCTCAAGGTACAAAGATTCACCTGCCTTTTTGTTTCAGCAGGTGATGGAATGGATGGGCAGAACCACCTGGCAACCCCACAGGAACTTCATGTGGGGACAGTGGAGGGACCTGCCAATCTGTCCAGAAAGCCACCCGAGAATGAGCTGCAAGCACCCCTCTTGTGTTCAGGGTTGGTGGCAGGGCAGAAGCAAGCCATTTCAGGAAAAAATGTTCATGGGGATGCCAGAGGGTGTAAAAACAGCTTCACCCATCAGCAGAGTCCTCTGGGAGCCAGATGGGGGACAGGTCTCGAGACTCGGGAGAGCATTGGCTGCAGTCCACTCCACAACATGAGTCGAGATGCCCAGGATGGTGGGCGAGTCTGGCCACCTTTTGGCGAAAGAACCCAGTTTTTCTCAGGGTGGCAAAAGCAACGCTGTACCCAGAGACGCCGACGTCCACCTGCAGGAGAGAAGCCCCACCGCTGTGGGCCATGCAGGAGAGCCATCGTGGTCCCACCACCAAGGTCTAACTCGCCTGCAAGCTCTGCCTTGGCTCCCCTCGCAGATTCTGCCTCTGTAACGTCTGCTGCCCTGCCTCTGAACTCAGTGGGGTCACTGACCACCCAGCCTTCACCAGGGAACCCCGCTTCAGCTCAGCCCCGGAAACCCCATGTCTGCGAGGAGTGTGGCAAGCGGTTCCGAATCCTCACCAACTTGGAGCGGCACCAGCAACGCCATGCGGCGGAGAAGCCTCACCAGTGCCATGACTGTGGGCGGCGATTCCGCTGGGGCTGCCACTTAGAGCGCCACCGGCGGTCTCGCCGCTGCGTGGAATGTGGCGGGGGGCTGGCCACTCCCCCTCCACCTCCGTCCCCGCCCCCAGAACCTGACCGGCCGTACTCCTGCGGGGAGTGTGGCAGGCGGTTCACACAGCGCTCGGCGCTCAGCAAGCACCGCCGGCTGCACTCGGGGGAGCGCCCCTATGGCTGCGGCGAGTGCGGGAAGCGCTTCCTGCAGCGGTCCGACCTGACCATTCACGTGCGCTCGCATTCTGGGGAGCAGCCCTATGTCTGCACGGAGTGTGGCCGCCGCTTCAGCGTCAGTTCGAATCTCAGCAAGCACAGGCGCATGCACCGCGGGGAGCGCCCTCACGCCTGCCCCGTCTGTGCAAAGCGCTTCCTGCAGCGCTCAGAGCTCCTCATACACCAGCGTGCTCACACGGGGGAACGCCCCTATCCTTGCACAGCCTGCGGGAAGCGCTTTGCCCGCCGGGCTCATCTCAAGCGCCACCAGCGCACCCACGGCAACGTGCCTCCCGCCCCCACTGCCTCTCGTCACCCGAGTGCCCGTTCGCTGGCCACCTCTGCAGCAGACGCCTTGTCCCTCGAACGTCGTGGGGGTGTGCCCGACGCTGCAGAAGCACGTCCCCACACCAACACGCTCACCACAGGGTCTTGCACCCCAGCCACTGGGCCCACTGTCTTCTCAGCAGCCCGTGGGTCTGTGGGTGCTGCATCCTTGGGCCTGCCCTGGGCCGTGTCCTCTTCCACCCGCCTTCCCTTCTGCTCCAGCTCTCTCTGATCATGTGGTACCCTTCCCGGGTCCCTATCCTTCATCAGTCCCTCTTGGCCAGTGGGCACCCCAGTTGAGCCTCCTTCAGGGATGGGGCCCAGCTCTCGGCAGATGCAGGGTGGGGAGGGACCAGGATCTGATGGAGTGTGGGAATTCTTGGACCCACCCCTGGATTGCTAGGAAGTCTTCAGATTGCCCCCACCTTGTGGCGTCTCAGTAGGCTCCGTATGGGGGAGGTGAGAAGTAGATGGGCAGCCAAAGACCACAGGTGGGACATCAGCCACTTTCCCCGGACTGTTGATTGAGCTTCCCATGGCCAACTAGTGTGATTGAAGTTGGGCACAATATTTAAGGTCTGGCAAGGAAGGGTCAAGTGGCCTGCCTTTGCACAGTGGAGCAAACACCCCACACTTGACTATAGCTAACAGGTACAAGTAATCCTGATTGTTTGCAAACTGCAGTGTGATGATACAGGCATGCATTTCTGAGACACGTGCACAAGATTGCTTGTTTTCTTGGCATCTTCCACCACATGGTCACCTATCTTCCTCCTTCCCCCTCTTTAATCCCATGTTAGTAAACTCTATTAGGGCTCCCCACACTTAAACCCTTGCCTTACTTGGCCAGTGATCTCTCCTTGATTGAACTGCCTTTGTGGGTAGTTCAACTCAGCTCCCAAATGCTTAGCATCCAGTTCTGGAGACTCAATTTATGCTTATGCTGTTGAGTGGAACACAAGCACTGGCTGTTGCATAAATTTTGGGGTGGGTTGTGTGTGGATTTCAGGTTCCAGTATGGTTCGTGGTTCCCTTCTACTGGTAAATGTACACGGGCCAAGGACCGCAAGAACCGCAATCGCAGAGAAAGAGGGAAGCTGAAGGAAGCAAAGGACAGTCACTGATCTTTTCCGAGCAGTTCAGAAACAGAATGGTGCTGTAAGTTCTGGCAGGATTTTAACTTGGCTGCTGCATGGCTAGTGCCTTCAACAGTGCATCCTTCGCCATCAGCTTCTGAGAAAAGCAGGCAGGCAGAAGGCGAAAAGCAGGAGGTGTCTGCTTCGGTGGGAATTGTGGACTGAATGCTTTAGGGGTAGACAGGAGCCTGCTTCCTGTATCCACTGGTGCTTCAGCCATCCCTGAGGAGAGCAGTGAATTGTGCTGAGTAGATCACCTCCGCCAGGCCTGCACCACTCTCGAGGGCTGTTTCCCACTGTATGGTTGTTTACGAGACCAGTGTTATTTCTCCAGTCGCTTGTACATTCCTCGTACCTTTTGGACTAGTGCTTTATTACTAGGGGTGGGATCAGAGGGATGGGCCTAAAAGTCTGTGGTTTGGCCTGGGTTCTAGACTAGGGAGGGGGTTAATACCTGATTTAGGACTAATACAGTAGAACCTTGTTTTATCCAATTTTAGCATGGAGTTTCTTTAACCAACATAGAAAAATGATGAATCCAAAACTGTACATAGAAATGAATCAAATAGAATATTTTGCAACTCCTTTGCCCCAAAGAAGATATTTTGCACCTCTCAGAACTTGAAATGTGAACTTTGTGCAAGCAGTTTGGGTATGGGGAGGAAAGATCCTCAAAATCCCAAGTTATGCTAGATTTGAGCCCCTTTGTCTTTATTTGACAATGTATGAATGTGAGGAAGTTTGTGTCTCTCTTAAATTTATGCCATATTTTAGTCACAATTTCCATTGCAATTGCAATCTGGCTTTTTCAACGCACATTTTCATCCTTTTTCTTGCCTTACACGTCTTAGAAAACATGCACAAGGAACTGTAACATTGCAGTGGTCCTGAGCATGGCTGCAAGAAAAGTAGAATGGATAAAAGGTGAATCTTAAGATTCTGCTCCCACCTGCTGGGTTCTGTTCTCTGTGGGATAGCTTTGTGGGAGGCAGTGTGAGGGGCTTATTGACCAGCAAGAGTAGGAGAAATTGGGACTTGTTCTAACGCACCACTGTGATCCACTTGTGATGGCTGACAGTCCCATTCAAAAGAGGACTGGTGCTGTTCACCTAAGCTTTGTGGAGTATTTGGAGACAAAATACTTTTCAAGTGTTGGTGTAGAATCACAAAGTTGGAACTGTATTTAAAGGAGGGGGAGGAATTTGCACCAAGTTTGCACTCTTGAACCGAAATTCAAACCCATACCCTTATATTGCAAAATTTGCATTTCTGCATATTTGCATTCTTTTAGGAGAAATTCCTTGCAAAACTGTATAAGCAAAGTTGTGTATAAAAAGTGCATGCGTTATGAGAAATGCACTCAAAGATGGGTATGAGTATCCATGCAGACTTTTTTAAAAATCCCCAAGTGTGGGGCTAATGGAATTTCAGATTAGAAAAACGAGAAACTGAAGTCAACAGGCATGTCCTCCTCCTGAGTGTGAGTGTGTGAGAGAGACTGAGACTGTTGGGAGTTCTGGTGGTTTTAAGGTATTGGGTGTAGACCCATTACCACCGGTGAATATTTTCTTTCACAGCCTCGTGTTATATCATGTTCACCAAATGCTTCCTGCCACAAAGCCATTGGCCCAGAGCTATTGCCAGGAGTTTTGCATTCAGCTGGACAACAGTTAAATAGTTTGATAAGTGACAGAAATATTTCAGTACAACTTGTAACCAGCAAACTGTAACTTACTGTTATTGGGAAAACCTGCCTGACAAAACCTTTCTCTTGGCAATCACAGGCAAGCAGCAAAAACAAGCAGTTTGGTAATCTCTTGCTGGGTTGTGTATTTGGCTTGGTGAATCATGAATTGCACAAATTAAACTGGGTAGGTAATATGGAGTAGGTGTCACTTCCCGCTCCCAGCTAAGATGGTTTCATGATGGATATGAAATACCCATGATGGTGGTTCACTGTTCTTAGGGCTCAGCATCAGGGTTTTCACTGTATACATAACCACTGCCCTAGTTACTTACAAATGGATCAACCATTCCAACAAGCTAGTTGAGGCCTTTCTTTGGTAAGGGTGCTTGTCCCCCATTCAGGGGTGCCAAGGTAAACCATTCTATAAAATGCATTCTGTAAGAGACACGGATGCTAATATCTGAAATGCTGGTGAACCCCTACTAAGAGGCTGTTGAGATTACCATTGTTCTCTTGTGGGGATCTTAGCCTGAAACCTGGAGTAGGATATGTGCAAAGATTTCTGCACCATCCAAATTCTGCAGCAAGATGAATTCTTGACTACCATAACCTATACAACTTACACAAATTAGTCCATAACATATTTTGCTATCATGGGGAAGAACACTAAAGTACTGTCTCTTGACATAAAAAGCCTGCTTCCTGGCTTCTTTGGTTTTCCCGAAAATAATTCATATGCTTTTAAATCTGCCTTGGAAGCACAGGGCTTAGCACAAGGAATGTGTGGACTGTAGCTTCCATCATCCTTCATTATTAGCTAAGCTGAGTAATGCTGATGGAAGCCACCGTCCAACATCTGGAGGGCCACACACATTGCCAAACTTGCTTTAAGGAAAGAAAAGCCAATATTCTCTGGATCCCAAGTACTGTGCCTGATGCTATCTTTCTGTGTATAAGTGCTATTACAGAATACACACAGCTTTCTCTGGGCATTAAAATGGCTTAACCTAGATTCCCCCCCCCCATAAAATTACTGAAGAATAGGAAAATGCTGTCAGAGATTGGAATGGTGGTGTTTTTTATTAAGTAATATCGCCCCCCACCCACCCACCCACTCGCAAAGTATTAGAACTCCACTTAGGCCTCAAGGGGACTTCCTGGGAGTAGGAATTTGATGAGAACCAAGCAACTACTAAGAGGACCATGGTTTGCTGTCTTGCTGAGGCAGAAATTATACCAGACTTCATTCAGCTCCTGCTTTGGTACTTGCTGATACAGATGAACAACACTGGAACAGCATTGCTGGCATTCACTCAGCTTTCTGCCCATCCCATAAGATCTTAAGTAAAAGATGTCCTAAGGGAGTTCAAAAGCAGGGCATGATGATGGTGAATCTTGCTTTTTTTTATCCCCAGCATCAGAGGGTCATCAGCTGCCCCAAATACATTTTGTGCTTTGAGCTTTTATCAGCGATTAGGTACGTCCCTCCTTCCTGAACTGACTGAATTCTTCCGAACGCCCTTCATGCCAACAGACAACTTGGTAGATTGTGACGAGGAGTGCCCAAGGTGGTCGTTGCTGCTCAAGAAAAATCCCTTCCTTTGGCTCTGTTTAAATCTGATTATTATCTACCAACTGTGCTTGGGGGAAAAACATGCCAGGATTTTGTACTTTGAGAGTGAATCATCTGTCCCCTCTGTTCTTTCCACAGCACTTGCAATTTGATAACCCTTCCCCAAATCTAAGTAAACAGAGCAAAGAGCTCCAGCTGGCATGAGAAAGTGAAATAAACCACACCTTCTAGGGATGGAATGTGGTGGTCATAGGCCTTGGACTTCCCATTGTTTTGGAGCCAACAAATCCTGCCAAGATTCAGTTCCAGCCACACAAACACTTGCTTTAACGCAAACACAGTCTCTCCCGTAAGAGGCCAGCAGAATGTGGACAACGAGTTCTGTAGGCTGTCCTGAACCACAGCTCCAGAGGAGTGAATGTCCCGCCTTTGCCGCTGGCAAGTTATGTCTCGTCCCCATAATTGTAGCACGCCGTCAGCCCCATAGTCTGGAGCAGCCTTAGAGAGCCGTTGACTGCTTGATGCTGTGGAAGCTGACCCGTGTTGGGGAAGTAGGAATGGACATAGCCCTTGCCACTCGGGCCCGGATGGAATGTTTGTCCTGCCACCGGTGCCATCTCTTCCGTACCGCAGAGCGGACCTGGGGAACACATCACAAAACAACAACAGTAACCTGAAAGAGCTGCTGGACTGAATGGAGAATAATGCTCCTGTTCCTTTAATGCAGCTTTCCACAACCTGATGCTGTCCAGATGTTTGAACTTTAACTCCTATCATCCCCAGCCAGCATGGCAATCAGGAATGCTGGGAACTGGAGTCTAAAATATCTAGAGGGCATGAGGACAGGGAAGGCTGAGAAAGTAGAAAGCCTCAGCAACCAGGTCACTTTGTTTTGCTACCCGCCCCCCCCCCCCAAGAAAAAACAAAGTTTGGATGCCTCTAACAAATCCATTGGCAGAATAGTGAGTATGCGCTCACACACCCTTCAACACCCTGCTAATTTAATCTCGGACAACCCTCCTGGATTCCATAGGATCATTACAAGCAAACGTATAAAATAATTCTTCAAAAAGAGAAATGTCAGCACTAGCCAGAAAATCATTGTAACTCATCCAGGGACACCCCTTCATGTGATTGCCCCAGATGGCAAAGGTGGGTGCAGGGGAACAGCAACATGAAATCATGCTGTTAAAAAAGCCTCAAAAAAACTTTTTTTTAATAAAAAAAAAAAGCTAGGGACTCTCCATCACATAAAGATGGAGAGTCCCTAGCATAGCCTGCCTTGTTTTTCACTTGCACAGCCATGTTGATATGGTGACAATTTGAACAGCTGATCTCTCTTACATTCTGAGTGGTATAAACCGGTGCGTACAGTTCCATGTCAAAGAATCTCCACTCGAAGGATCTCTTGGGCCGTGAATCTATGCTTGGCCCTCCCATGCTAAGAGTGATGGTGGGGCACCTGAGGACAGCCCATAGCAATGCTAGACCTCCCCATTAGACCTCTTCAGGGGCACAATCCTACACACGTTTAGACTGAAAAAGCCTGCTGGTTGGTGAATGTTGAAAGTCATCGAACTTTTCTCTGTCTAAGCATGCATGGGACTGTGCCCTAAACCTGTAGTATATATTTAACATATTCCTTGGAATCCTTAAACTATATACACATCTGATATTCCAATTTCAAAAATTCAGCCAGTTTCAAAGCATTCCTGCTCCCACGCAGAAGCACACTTTCTAGTGTTCTCTTTTGGCTTTTATCTTGAAACTGCCCCTATCTACATGCTACCCTTGGGCTCAAGATTTATCTGTTTTTTCAAAGGTGAGCATAAGGGATGCCCCACTGGCAACAGGTAAGAAAAGACCCAAGAGGTCTCTGCACCAGCTTCCCACCCAGCCTTGGCTCACCTCACTGTTCAGGAAGCAGTAGAAGACAGAGACAAAGAAGCCCTGGTTGGGGAAGAAAGAAAAATATAGTGTCAGTCAAGAGTTGCAAGGAGGGAGAGGAAGAGCCATAGCCTCTTGCCCATGGTTTCTTGCTGCAGGGCACATTGAGTTCCTAATTTCTCTTTAAAAAAAATTAGTGTTGGGGCTCAAGCCTTTGGTCTGCCTTATAAACAAGTGTTGTCCTTCGATATGCCAGAGGGCTTAGATCTCTTGGGCTTAGATTACAGGAGGGTGGGTCTCAGTCAAACATTAGGAAAAAGCAATGGAGCCAATTCCCTAGCAGAGTGTTGGGTTTTCCGTCACTGCAGGTCTTTAAGCAGAAGCTGGACGGCCATCTACCATGGTGATGTAGCTCTGACCTTCCTGATCAGGAGGGGCCTGGACAAAATGACCTACAACTCATTCCCCCAGAGCACTATAGGATGGACTTGGGATTAGTCATTCTTAGGGTAAACTCACTGCTTAATTTAGCCCCATTAATTTCAGGGAGTCTACCATAGATATTAGTAACTTTAGATCCAGTTCTGTGATTGTATGGCTGCATTCACTTACCTGAACCCAATGGGACTTATTTCTGAGTAGAAATATATAGGATTGCATGGTATGATTCTATATTTAGTAGATGGGCTATGATGAACACTCTGCATATGTTCATCAGTGCTCTTAATAATTACTTCGAATGTTACATACCTCAGTGCAGAGCCGTCTTAACAGCATTATGGGCCCAGGGCAAAGCAGTGTACTGGGGCCCCTACGACAACTACAACTACTGTTAATTTTGGAAGTTTTCCAATTTTCCAAGGGTTAACATACACAGATTAGTATGGGGCCCACGGGCAAGTGCCCATCAGGCCCATGCGTTAAGAAGGCCCTGCTCAGTGTGGTCTCTGAAAGCAGGTTCCATAGCTAAGCACAGGCAGTATAGAAATGTAATATAATTATAATAGAAGCAGTCTGCTGAAGGAAAGCCCCTTATCTGGAAGTATTAAGGTGAGCATCGCCTTTTCATGGGGAGAGATAACATGGTTAGTAGATGGTCCTTCAAGCTGTATGTGCAGGGCTTTCTGCTAGAGCCAAAACAAATGCAGAACAAATCCAAAATCATATTGATATGATCACAAAACAAATGTTAAGGGAGAGATATTAAGCATCAATCTGCCAGTTTCTATCCCTTCAGTGTTTCTACCCTTTGTGCATTTGTGTTTGTTCTTTCTAACCCTCTAAGGAATAGGGATACATAATCTGGAAATCTATTAAAGAATGTATTAAATAAGTATGTGCATTTAAATTATTGCAAGGCATTTCAAGTTTGGAAATACCTTCTGCACACCACTTCCCATTGTATTTCAGCTGTAGTTTCTGTGAGTTTTCCATACCTGGAAGGACTCCAAGAGAGAGTTGAAGTAGATGAAGACAATCCGGGAAATTTCATCTTCGCCGGGATTGACAAAAAAAAGCATGTAAGTAATTCCCAGTAAAGGAAGAAGCACAAGCGTCGCCTTCACAGCTTTTCTGGAGGAAGGGCACAGGAAGGGTGTTACTATCCAGATTGTCACATAGATGCCCACTTAGACTGGATCTTTATATGCAGCAAAGGAAATGGTAAGGAGATGGCAGAGTGTCAAGTGTGGGCTGTAGGTGGATGCCCTCACATGCTGAAACATAAAACAGTCCCTGCACACAGAAAGCCAGGACAGCAAGGGGGATAGCTAAATCCTCTTGTGTCGATGCAGATGTGCTAGTTAACTTGCAGGGAATCTTCAGTGCAGGGAAACATTACAATTTATAGACCTCACTTGAAGTCTGCAGTGGCACGCTGCATCTTTTACCACCTCATACGCTCTCCTGTCTCATTCTGCTGCAGGTGCTGCTATGACCTGCATTGGTTCCAAAAATCAAACCTAAAATCAGTTTCCCGGATGTGCAAGGGAATAATTACAATGCCTAAATACAAAATGCCTCACCACAATGCATCCCACCCATTTGGAACTATTGAGGAGAGGCCAAGCTTCCAGTGCACAAGATACTTCTGTTCAGTTTAGAAATGGAAGAAAAACTCTCTCTTGTGACCCTAGTAGCAGCTATCTCCCTAGGTACCTTCTATGCTTCTTCAACCAGCTAGCAATCAAAGCTGTCCAGCTGCCGTATTTTTAAAAGACAAGCCTTCTGCCTTGGTAGCTTAAACCTTAGCAGTGTAAGGACTTTTTATAATGGGAGGTAGGGACTCACAGCATTCCATATATCAAGGCTGGGGAAACCTGCAGCGCTCTAGATGGTGCTGTACTCTACCCATCAGCCCCAGCTAGCATAGTCAGAAATGATGGGACTTGTAGTCCAACAGTATCTGCAGTCCAACAGGTTTCCTGATATACATACTCAGAAGCACTTTTTATTGCTGTATGACAGAGTGGAGCCAGTTGTTCAGATCAGATGCTTAAATGCTGGCTCAGATCTAGCTCTGGCTCTCTCCTCCCACATCAGGGTTGCCCTGTTTAATTCCTGGCAGGGCTCCTTTGACTTTTAAAAGCAGGAGGACAGGCAGGAATCCAAGACTGAACAGGACGTTCCGAGGCACGGATGAGGGAGGCTGCGTCTTCACTGCTTGCAGAATCAGAATAAATTCTGCAAAGCGATGTGGACAGGGCACCTGCTAAAACGGCACCCTACATTTGGTTTGTGAAATTAGAACAGGGCTTCAGCACAGCTATTCTCATAAGACTCAGTCCCTCCTTCCATTTCTATACTGCCCGTTCCCCATCTTAAGTTGGTACCTGTACTGCATTGTCTCTGAGGTAGTGGAGGCCCGAAGCTTGGTCATCAGGATTCTGACAATATTGAATAAAAATATGAAATTGATCTGCAACAGACACAGAAATCAGATTAAACAAAGCCATGAAGTCTTATTTATGTCAGTTGCCATGCCAAGCTAAGAGACAAAGGGAACATTCTTCCATAGCCCTGAAAAGTAGGCCAATATTATTATTCTCATATTACATGTTATTATTCTCAACTGGGTTGAGATTTACAGCTGAGATGAGGGGCTTGCCAGAGGCCATCTATTAAAGTCAGAACTGAAGCAATAGTTGACAGCTCACTTCTCAATATTGCAAAATCCACCCCCCAGCCTTCTGCAGCAGAAACAGGTACCTTCCCTTCCCTTGACTTCGGTTAACCTGGATCAACTTCTTCCTGACCTCCACAAACACCAGAGAAGATCTAATGTACTTGAAATTAGAATGTCAGACTAGAACTGGGGAGACAATGGTTGTGATCTGCATTCGGCCATGAAGAATACTGAGTTACTTTAGACCAGTAACTCTCTCATTCTAACCTTCCTTGCAGGTTCATTGTACAGATAAAGTTGGGAGGCGGGAATGCCACTGTTTATACCACCCTGAACTCTTCAGAGGAAGAGTGGGGTTTTTAAACTTGCAGCTAATGCCATTTCAACTGCAAGCGTTCAACCCCCTTGAATGTGAATACGACAGGGATAAATAAAAGACATTAAGGGATAACCAGTTCATATTAAGTGTAGTAAATGCCCCCTTCAAAAGGAAGAGCACAGCTTTGCCATGTGAACAGGTCAGATAGGCAGAGTAGCAGCCAGGGTTGGATTAGGTGAGAAATGCTCCATTCAAGGGTACTTATTTAATAGGTCAGCTTCAGTCTTAGGGATGCCTAGAGTTGACTCAATGGGTCTTACGTCAGTCTAATTTTTGTCTCACTGCATATTCCAGCATATTGATGAATACTAATTTCTTATCCAGAAATTGAACTTCTTCTTTTGTGATGTACCCACAGAACCATTTAAGGCAGGAGCGCAGAATCTCAGGCTTGCGGATCCATTCAGTCTTCCTGGGATCCAGCCTTCCCCCCGAGCCCCAGTCACCTGACCACTGACTGTTTTGTCATTTCTCATCTTTTGCACGGTTTTCCCTCATTATGAAATACTGAAACGCCTTTCCTGGGGCTTAGTGACTGGCAGCAAGCGCTCTCACCTACAATGCACTGATGTATTTGGTCATTTGCTCTCACCCTTCTGGCCACTCATCCCTCAAACGCAGCTCTGAAAACCTCGCTTAAATGGAATTCAGCCTGCCAGCTGGGAGGGGGTCAGCAATCCTGTTTTAAAAGGGCCGGCGCATGCTTTTCTGCGCATCTGATACCCAGTGCTGCAGTGGCCTCCAGTTATGGCGTCGCCCACTCCAATCTGCATGATTCACAGTGACCAGGGCAAGCTGCAAACACATTTGACTGTGTGCAAGCGCAGGCCGTTTTGTGGATTGGGGCGGGGTTAGGTAAAAGCCAGCTTTCCATTGGACATCCTGCAACTTCCTGATGGATTGCTATGACTGAGATTCAAAAACTTCTGTGAATAAACGTTCTTAGATGTTGGTAACAGATCAGCACAACAGATTTGAACCAGGCTTCGTCATGTTTACAGGAGATCCATTAAAATCAATGAGCTCAAATTAGTCATGACTTACTTATCCCATTGATCTCAATGGTCTATACTAAACTTGATCTGTTGTCAACATCTGAACATATGATTTGCATGTTGTTTATGAGTGGTGGTAAAAAGCCATTTTTCAAGCAACAGTTTTCAAAGTCAGCCTAAAGTAGAGAGCCATCTAAACAGAGCCAGTAAAAGTAACTTTTTCGGGCAACTTTAATGTCTTTTGCCACTAGGGGGAGCCACTCTCTCAAGTATTTTAAAACAAGGAACTATTGGACTGCGCAGAGCCTTCATTTTTCCTCCTTTCTTTAGAGCTGAACTAGAGGATTCAGCACTATTGCAGAAGATAAATAAGGAGTGGAAAGAGACAGTGTCATCCACATTTGAAAATCAGCAGATGCAACAAAAGCTCTCAGATCATTTCCATCTCCCCCAAATGGGCTTCCCTGAGAGAACAAAGACACATACGCACACTAAAACTACTCATTGATCAAGGGCATGGAGTATTGTAAGAGACTGAAAATGAGCTGGATCCAGATTTAGTCAGAATAGACTGAATCACTGAATAGACAATGAAATCAGTGAGGTTTAAGTTAATTGTGACTAATGCAATCTGCTGATTTGAGTGAGTGCTCTGAGGGTGACTTAAGGCACAATCACACTGCTATAGATTGTACTGTGCTGCTTGGAAACCCTTGAGGTTTGAGGCTTCTGAGGTTCCGGCAGCTTGCTGGGCAAAGCTAATGGGGCTGGGGGAATGGCAGAGGCAATCTTTGTCTACCTGTTTTCCAGTATCCTTTATTTTCACTAGATAAAGGGCACTCTGGAGCGGGAAGGAAGTCACCTGGAAGAGACCTGTGGTGTGTTGCTCGTATATTCAACCAACAAGTACCAGTTTGTTTTTGTTTCATTAACTTTTGTGCCACAGTAAACCATATTTTGCAGCTTCCCAGTGTTGTGTATCTTGTGTACACCAAGTGGTAACAATGCCAATTAAATCTATTTCAATTCCAGGTTGTAAAGCAAAACAAATAGCTTTGAAAAAGTCAAAGGAGGATGAATATTTCTGCAAGGTACTGTATTCACAAACTATTCCCTCTCTCCCTGCACTTCCTGAATCCTTCCTAAATCAGAACTAGCAGCAACTGTGCAAAGACAGATTAAACAGAAAATCGATGCAGGTTCCTACAATTCAGTATGATCTAGTCAAAGTAGTTCTACCCTGTCATTCTCCCTCCATTTGTACCATCACTATTGTAAGACAAAACATTTTACAGAACTCTAGATGTGTAATCAAGAAAGGCATTTACTACCAACGGGTCCCAGATAGGAATGAAGGAATTTTGTTTGGTGCACATTTTAAGCCAACCAGCGTAATTCACACTTCATGATCTAATCTGGGACCAGAAGACAGCACTGAAAATGTGGTGGACATGAAGAACTATCAGTTCGACACTGAAGAGCCAGAGGATCACATTGCCAAGGGGAGATATTGGTATATTTTTTTTCTGGAGTTTTCCTTTGCTTTAATGGTGCTTTTCAACTGACAACTTGGCAATTGGTCCCTGGCAACTGTGCACAAATTAGTCTATATTCAGTCTCGCCTTCATGTTGCCTCCTCGCTTTAATAGCTGAAACATGCAAGGAAAGTTACCAGGAAAGATGACACATATCAGAAAGCTATAAGAATACACGGCGCATTTGCAAAAGACCAATATAATAATGATCATAATACAAACATAGCCCCCAGCCTGACACCAGAAAAATACCTGTGGGAAAAGAAAAAGGGGTCAGGGCAGGGATGGGGAAATAAGACTGGTTCTGCGGCAAAGGACACCATGATACTGGCTGGAAGAGCAAGCAGGAAGGAGGGGGAGAAGGAGCCACTGGAAGGCTAGTTGTTTGTCAGGCCCCCTGCATGGTCATTCCACAGACAACTCACACTGCACAGCTCCGTTGCAGGGTGGCTTAATATGTTGTGCAAATCCACACCTTGTGGATATGCTTCTTTGAGAGAGATGCTTGCAGAAACTCCCTTTCTCCTTATATTTTAGACTGTCCACTCTATGTGAAGATGAGAAATGAATGACCTCTTTAAGGACAGGCTGTTCCACTGGCCTGGTTACAGAGACGATATTGCTTCTTGTTACAACAGAATTTGTTAAAGCTGATGGAATTGATTGCTTAGATGATACATCTGATGAATGAATTTTCATTTTATTTGCAGCATCTTAGAGCATATTTCTCCAAGCCTCTTGCTACAGCCTACGGTTTGGGTAAAGATACATTCATATTTTAAGAGTTAAGGAGATAGTTTGACAGTACCATGGCTGCCATCAAAGGGAAACCCTTTCTGCCTGTTCTGACAAAATATTTTGGGTTTAAAACCAGTTTTGCGGGTTTTCAGACTGAACTGAGGAAAAGTTGGTTGTGGTGAGTAGTACCTCTTTGCTACTGCAGCCAATTTCACCAACATACACATTATTCCCTATCTTGCAGAAGTTTTGGAACTTGTCTTAAACATAAAATAAAATTCAATATCATTTTATCAGTTGAAAGATCAGTGCATAATCATGTTTTACTCTTCCTCATTTTAAATAGCTCTGTCTGCCCTAAGAGGAGAGAACCTTCTTGGTATGTGAATCAACTCATTATTCAAGTTGCTGCACTGCCATTCATAAAGCCAAGTTTGCATTATAGGGGAAAAAACCCCCATTATTATTGCTCCTGAAATGCTCTGTATGTTTTCATCTTCACAGTAAACAATTTAGAACTTGAATTTTGGAAATGAGGTTGATATCTCAAATCATGTGAAAACGAATAGTGTGTAAATATGACATGGCCAGGTACCTTCATCTCTGTTATCCTGCTAACAGGGATATACATTTTCATTCAGACAGGCCTTTTGACTTTTAAGCTGCCTTGCTTGTTGAAGTAGGTTTTAACTGGTAGGTGTTGTTATTTCTTTTGTATTGATGTGCTTTTAATTGTGCTTTCAATAGATTTAATTATAATTGTATAGTTTTGTTTTACTCATCATTTCATATTTATCTGCATTTTATTATTGTTCGTCACCTTGAGCACTCTTTTAAATGGAAATATGTGCTATAAAATTAATAAACAATAAATAAATCAATATTTCCCAGGATCTACAGTAACACCATGGGAATAATGCTGTCCGATGTGTTTGATACATTCCCTTGCTCCATATGATACTAACCCAATATTATTATACCCAGACTGAGATGGCCAATTCTAACAGAACAAAGAAATTCTAGGAGAGAATCCAAGATAATGACAATTGCATCCCAGCCTTCTTTGGATCATGGCCATGCTGGCTGTGGATGGTGGGAGTTGTACTCCAACACATCAGAAGAGCACTAAGCTGGAAAGGCAGCTGGGAAGAATGGAAGCAAGTCTGCCTGAGACTGGAAGCTCCCCCAGAGATGGGTTCCTCTGACCTCCGTGAACACCCAGAGTCCTCTGCTTTCTTTCCTCTCCTGGCCTCCACCAGTTTGGAAATGCTCATTCCAAGTACAGTGAGCTGCTGGGATTTAAAAATAAGGCTGCACAAAGGGCAGAACAGTAGCATTATCTCAAGTTCATGCAGCACGGCCTCTGACAAACCAATCACCTCCCACTTTCTCCCAGGACTCCGCATCAACCAAGGCTGCAGGGGAGACAGCGCCTGGGTAATAAGGCAGCTATTACCTCATCAAAGAACGTTATTAAAAGGCTTGCCGAGGAGGAGAATTGCACTGTGTGACTTGCGCCATATTCAGTTGCTCCACGGACTGTAGTAGCAGCACATACACGTGAGGGGGAAAGTGTACAAGCAGGACAACAGCAGAGTGGGAAGGGGAGGAGAAATGGGTGGGGTGGGTGGCTGGAAAGAAGGGAGGAAGCAAGCAAGCAAGGACACTAGCTGCATACGATGTAGGAGATCTTTTCTTTTATCGTCTTACCTTAATGCAACTGAACCTGAAACCAGCAGCGCTGTGCGGGAGGCGATGCTCAACCCTCTCTCTATGGGACAGTGCCCTCCAGAAATCCCCCCTCCAAAATAAAGCCACCCTTTTCCCTTTCAATGGAAAAGATACTCAGACCATTAATGAGGAAGCAGCGGGGCGGGGGTGGGGGGGAGGCCCTTAGCAAACAAATGGCTTGCAAGTAGAGTCAGGCAGTTCTCCACACCCCCTCCCCAGGCCCACAGTGGAAGCCTCTCTACTGCTGTGCAGAAGAAAAGGAAGGAAAGGGGGGAACGCTGTCAGGTCGGGAACCCCTCATGTGTCTCTAGTTTCATGTCACATCTGGTCATGCCAAAACAAGGCTGGTCATGCTACCATTTTGCAAAAGGGCAGAAAGAGTTACATCCAGGATGATGAGAAGGAAAGGACTCCTGTACTTAGCTCTGCAGAGGAGGGATTTCTGGCTCGTTTGATTGATTGACTGATTGATTAGACTTATATTCCATGATATTGGCCCAAAGGCTCTCATACAGGTTTTCTCTGCCTGACAATCGACTGCAAGTTATTTGAAGGAAGTTGCTTCCTGCTCTCGTTTGCTTCGGGTTCCTTTAGCCACAAATGCACCTGCCAGATAATTTGAAGGGGGCAGGGAGGTTTCCATTCTTACCAACAGCACCAGTATCATGGGACCTTGGTAGATGTAGTCTGTGTAAATTCCTGCACGCTTTCCAAACCAGCACCTGGAATTAAAAATGGAGGAGCCCACAATTAGTTAGTTGCTTCATTGATATACTGTCCAAGAATGGAAGGTTTCTGGGTGCTAAACTATTCATACAAGCAATGAACATTTTCCCTTCCCCAACACTGCTATTCTGTCTAGGAAGGAAGCTGCTCTTTGCAACAATGGCAACTCCCATTTTCATGGGGAATGCAGTGCGGGAGGGGAGAGGAAAGTTACGAGTTAAGCTGCTTTCTTCCCATGCACCACTGCCCTGATCAGCCCCCCAGCCCTCTGATCTGCTATTTAACAAGGAAAACAGACACAGAAGTAAGTCACATTGTTCCTTCATTGCCCAGTTTGGCCCTGAGCCTCTCAGTTCCTGATATTCCCCAAGACTTCAGTAGCTGTGCAGGGCTCAGCTTTCTTTTTGGTCTTTCCCAGCAAAGAAAGCCTTTTAGCCAAAATGAGGAGCCCTTTTTAAGCATTTGTAGCCCCAAGCACAAGTATGCTTTGGCTTTAGCTATAACCACAGCCAGGGCTTAGCATGGAAGCAACATCGATCCCGTTCGCCTGCATGATTAATGATTATGGGATGGAATTGTCAGGGGGCTGCTAAGTCGTCTATTAGCAAGTCCCTGGGAAAGCAGGAGCCGGGCAGGGAAGCATCTCTGGCCCCTCTCATTAACCTCCAGCCTCGTTTAGCTAGACAGGGCCTCCCATTGGCATTTTGTTATCACAGGCCAGATCTGCATATATAAAAAACTGTGCAGTTTCTTACCAGGTAGTGGAATTCTACTATATGGATAAATTGTGCACGTATGTCTAACTTTCTGAATTTCCCTATATCTATTCCACTTCCGCCAGCCACAGAGGGGAAGGAGGAGCATGCCAGCATGCTGACAACACACCTCTTCAGCTCTGCAAGCATCTGTTCCTCCGCTATTGAGGACCGAGTTAGGTAGATAGAGACTGCAGTTAAAAAGCTGAATTTCTCTTCTATTTCTTATGAAACCAGCCATGCATGCATGGGGGGAGGGGGCTGGATTTGGGCCACAAAACTGGGGAGCAGAATTAACCATTTCCCCCATGCATTTTCCTAATGTTGAATTGCCCCTGAAGCTTCTGTTTTCTCCATTAGGGAAGACATGTCTCTGCCCCTGCAGCCCTAGTCTTGTTTTGTCCACCGGGACTGGAATCCTGATTCCAGCTCATTCAATCCATCAAGAAAAGAAGGAAAATAAACTCCCTCTCTTTACCTCTCCTGGTTTTCACTGTATCCCAAGATTTTAACATCCACATTTTTTGCAGCTTGCAAAAAGCACCTGGCAGCTTGCCACCTGGCAACAGCTGGGGAGTGGGAGGCGGGCTTGTTGCAATGACCAAGGAAGCGCTTATAAGGAAGGCTGATCTCGCTTCCTGCTCTGCTCCTGGCAGCATTTGCAAAACAATTCATGTTTCTTTGAAGCCAGGAGAGCATCCCTCCTTCCACCTCCAGGTCCCTCCATTGCACCCACTCCAAAGCACAGCCCTGCTCTGGAAGTCATCGCCATAGCAGCAGAAGGGCGGGGAGAGGCTGGGACCAACTTACTTCTCGTTGTCATAGTAGAGCTTCCCAATGGCCCAAGCAATGATGATGGGAAAGGGGATGCCTGTGAATGAAAATAAATGCAGATTTCAGTGGCTCCCCTGATTGTGACTCAGCAATGGGAGAGCTGGGGAAGGCAGCGGGTAGAAGGTTTTTGGCACTCTGTTTTTGGCTGCATCCACACACCCCAGATGATGATAAAACCAGACTATTTCTGAGCTTAGAACCAGAACCTGTTCTTTGTGTGAGAGCCCAGTCTCTTTATAAAATCTATGGCAGGACTGTGCAAATGAACATGCCTATGCAGAATGCAGGAGCACATCTGCAGTCCTGAGATCACTCCACTTCAGACCAAGATCCATTTCCAGTACTATTTCAAGTGACTGTGTCTCTGAGCATACCAAATTGCTTGGGCTTACTTTCAAAATCGCTTGGGCACCAGAACCTGCTTTTAGTTTTGGATCTTGGCAATGGAAAAATGGACACGAAAGAGCCCTTCTGAACAGATGCAAAGGGCTGAGTATGGCAGGAAAGAAAACATGCTTTTGAACATGTGCAGAGGGCTGAGTTCAGTCTGATCTATCCTTACAAGGCAAAGCTGGGCTGAGAGATTTGTGATGTAGTAATAAAAATGAGCTATTCCCTGAGCAGGCACAAAGGTGCCTCACCACTTACTAGCCATGGCCGTAGTAGCTGGGACCTTGCCTGCCCGTCCCTCCTGCCCCATTTCAGTAAGAGCAGCACCTTCCTTTGAGAAGGGGAGCGATGCCCATCAGAGGAGGAAAGGGAGCCCTGCGTAGCTGCGCCGCCTCCCGCCCCCTCCGCATCACTCACACCAGCCGATGCAGAGGAACATCCACTTCCGCAGCTTGTCGGTCGAATAGGTGAGGACGATGGCGGTGTGGAGATAGCAGCCCTCGCCGAACATCCAGAAGAAATTGGTGACGTGAAAGTAGTTGTAGGCGGCTGTGACGAGACGGCACCATGCCTGCAGGGTGAAGGGCAGGCACCATGGACTGAGAAACGCCCGGCCAGCCAGTCAAACCCCACGCAGAGCCGTGCTCCTTTCCGCCTTCTAACGGCAAGGCTGCCCAGCTGCTTGCACGCTCCGTCCTGTGCCTGCCAGCCTTGAATCTCTACGAAAGTCAGCCTGAGGCTCCAGACCTTAGCTCTGCCCCCCAAACTCAAAGCACAGCAAACTGCCAGAGTTCTCATCTCTGAATGAATTCAGGCTTGCATGACCCTTAAAGATGCAATCCTAAAAGTTTAGGAGTCGTAGGGCATTTTTGCTGTCTCAACATGCACAGGATTGTGTCCTAAATTGCTAGAACTTCTTCTGACACCTCGGTTCCTATGCAGGCTAAACTGAGTTTTGCTAATCCCAAACTGCTAGTCTGGGCAGCCCAGCAGAGTTGAAAGCACCCCCTTTAGGCCAAAGGAAAGCACAATCAGGAGATGCCAAGTTTAGAATTTCCGCAGCAAAGTTTTTGACCTCTGTCCTCCTCTTGTTTTAGCTCTGAGAGCAGGCACTGTGGTACATTTATAACTTTAGACCCTTTTCCTGTGCAAAAGTTTGACAGGTTTATGGGCGTTCATATTACCTTCTAAGGCATGCCTATAATTTTAATGTGCTAAAATACAGCATTATTACAATAGGAATTGTGCAACTTTTGTGAAGGAGTCCCTGCATTACCCAGTATGATTAATCCCTAGAGTGTAGTAGGTGGGGATGGGGGAGGGATGCAGTGGCTAGGAAAGAAGTGACTTAGGGAGGCTGGGAAAACTGATTGCCAGAAATGCTGTATCTCATTGGTCATAGGCTGTCTGGGCAAAAGCTGCAGGCTCAGGTACAGAACCCCAGGGGAGGCGTTAAGCCAAAGGAGTCCTCCAGCCAATCCTAAGATTATAGGAAGCTGCCTTGTACTGCATCAGCTCAGCACTGCCAGGCACTAACTGCCTTTTACTCTCACCAGCTGCAGGGAGAGATCTCCTGCAGGTCTGCCCAGAGAATCAGGCCGGGGGAATGTGCATGTGAGATCTATGCCCTGCCACTGAGCTACACCCCTTTCCTAAGGCTTCATCCACCCCATCACCTCCAAACACCTTTGTGCTTTACTATATAGATCGATGATGATTTTCTAGGCTCAACCTTCATAACAGGCGAAGCAGCCAGGACCTCAAAGCTTTAGGGGAGGGGGCTAATTTCCCTGGTGTGCTTTTCCCTAGATCTGGCAGAGATACAATCCAAATTGCAGCCCTGCAACGATCGAGCAGTCTGCACCAGTTTCAGGGGAACCTACCACATTGCTTTCATGTACTTCTGGATTCATGGTCAGCTGCACCACAAACCACGTGGCGTTCCGCAAAATGAAGGCTGTGATCAAGTTCCAGTGGATGATATTTCGTAGGCAGCGAATACTCCTGACGGAGAAAAGAAACGACTCCTGGTGAAGAGCCGTGAAGAGCCCATGTGCTTATGACATCCAGGCATTCCCATCTCAGGGCAGGGTCTTCCCTCGTGCTCGCTCACTCTGTGAGCTCTGTCGCAGCACTTACCTCAGGCGCATGAAGAGCACGAATGCAGCCAGCAGGGCCCCCAGGGAAATGCAGTGCCCAAGGTAGTTGATGACCACGGCGACATGATAGTGCAACTTGCTCCTCTTCTGCGGGGGGGGGGAAGACATAGGAGACTCCCATGAGGCCAAGGAGGGTGCAGAAGAAGGGGGGAGGGGCCCTGCTTCCAACCCACGGGAGGGAGTTTGGCTCTTTTGCCGCAAACTTGCTGGGTCCCTGGTAGGAGCCAAAGCAAGTGGGCCAAGGTGGAACCTGTAGCCTTGGGGTGGAGACAGCGAAGAATCTGGCATCAGTGGTGGGGGCAGGACAGGAATGGACAGTCCAAGGGCAGAGCCTGGCAGAAGCAGGATTTATTGACCCTGGCTCTTCTTGGGATCGCAGTAGTCCAAAGACGGCCAAATCAACTCTCAGGGCACTAAGAGGATAGCAGAAGAGGTGACATCGACTCTGCTGTACAGTTGGAGAGGAGCCTGCTTTTTAATTTCTCACAGCACTCCAGAACACCCAGTCTGGAGATCCCAATGCAGTTATACTTAGAGTGGCCTCACTGAAATAAATGGAATTAAGTTTGGGCCTTTTTGGTTGTGGCACGCCAGTTGTGGAGTGAGCTCTTCAAAGAGGTGTGTCTGGTGCCAACTTTGTGTTCTTTTCGGGTGAAGACCTGTTAATCCTCCCAGCATTTTAACAACTTAACTTTTTCACTTCATGTTTTAATATGGCATTTTATTCTGTACTGCTGCATGCTTCTATGTTGCTCCAATGGCCATTGCTATTGTGGTTTTGTTGTTTTAAGTTAATTTAGATTGTGTGTGTTCTAATTAAAAAAAAAAAAACTTTGGTGAACCACCCAGAGTGCCTCAACAGAATAAAAATGAATAAACAAAAAACAGTCTCAACCAGCATTCCCAAATTAAGACATTTCTTTTTCCTGTAAGCAGTCCCAAGATGCTTGTTGTGGATGGCCTATAAAAGCTTTTAATAAACAAATACATATTTTGGATTTCAGCTGCTATCAGCTCTGGCACCCTAAGCAATGGTCAAGAATGCAGGGAGTTGTAGTGCAAAACATTTTGAAGGGCAACAAATTGAGGAAGACCGATCTTGACTAAGCCGTCTCATTGATTGTGATAGTCTACTCTAACTATTGGCTAACATAGCATGACTAACTTAAGTCCCGTGGATTTCAGTGAGTCTGTTTTAAACCTGGATCCAGCCCACAGCATCGCTCCAAGACATTCTGGGACATTTAAATGTGGTGGCTCACAGTACGGTCCCTTTTTGTAGGGACCAAAGTCACCTGCCCAGTGAGGCCTACTCAAGCCCCACAGCTGCCCTGGGAGGCTGGCAATGCTCTGGGCCTGAAAAGAAGGGCTGAGGATGCAGGACAAATGGGTCATGTGCATCTGTTATCTCATGCAAGGTTCAGCTTTGGCCACGCCACTGCAAACCTATGGAAATCCACATCTGCAGTTTAATTCCCTCAAGATTTCAGCCATGGCCAATGCTCCAAAGTGCCACCATGTGCCCAGACTAGTTTTTCCCCACTAATCAGTTTTCCCTGCCATGAAGGAACCTTCTCCAATACCCATTTGCGATCTTTGCTACAGCCCTGAGCTTACGGCTTTATCTTCTCTCAATGGGAAAGCTTCCCTCCCACATCTTTAGGCGAGCCATTAAGAAAATGCTGCCATGTTCCTCCTTTTATCCGCTCTTCTCTGAAGTGCCTTTACAGGCAATCTTTTATAAGGAGCAATGTGAATAATTGCCCTCCTATCATTACATACCTATTAGGCTAATAGCCATCCTCACTACATGAGATAATAGAAGGCCCACACTGTGACAAGACAAGAAGTACTTCCTCTTGCCACTTCCAAAGGCACCGATACTTTTGGAGGATTATCCCAAGCTTTGGTGAAATTTGACAGGGGGCTCATGCTTAAATACATGGCATCATACCACAGAAAGAGGTCAAAGCTTTGCTAAAAGGGCCATTTGGGGAACAACCCCAGTGCTCAGGAAGGGCAAGCTGACCGGGAGCAGTGCAGAATTGCTCGATAATTCTTGAAAAGCTATGTAAGGGAAGAGATCCTCTGAGAGAGGGGAAGTAAGGCTACATGAGAAGGAACCATGTGCAGCCCTCTGCTATTTAAGATGCTGCAATGCTCTTGGAAGGGGCAGCTATTTCTCTCCCCATTAATTGCTAAGTCACAGGGTGGATGCAAGGCAGCTGGCTAATTTAATTAGTCAGCCATCCTCTCCTGTGATTTCTACCCAAGCCCCCAGGGACATCCAAATTTAATTGCTGCTGCAGATATATCATGTTTCCAGGAACCTTTGCTAAATTCTAATTAAGTGACAGCCTTCTGGGATTTTCCAGATAATGGCTACACCATGGAAAGTGCAGCATGCCTCTTGCATGCCTGCTTGCTGCCCCTTCCCTTCCACCACGCACGCACACACCTAAGCTGCGAGGCCAGGAAATGTTTGCACCAATGACTAGCTGCTGGAACGGTGGTGATATTCAAACCACGGCAGATCTCCTGTGCCCGGCTTGAAAGGAGTGGCCCAAGTCAGACGGAGCTTGATTTAGAATGGAACCCCAAGGCAGAGATACCCCTACAGTGAGCCATCATGAGGTGGCCTTAAGAGAGGCATTTTGGCCTTGTAGGATGGGAAAAGACCACTTAGTCAGTGGTGTTAAGCAGCGTTGTGCCAAAACCCTATGTGGCCTTTCAACTCCCTGAGAAAGAAGCAGTCTGCCTTTTCCCTTGGGCTGTTCAGGGAACTTTCACAGGGTGGAGGGCTTCAGTGCTTGCCCTACTGTAAGGAGGTGGGTGGCTGAAGGGTGCATGGGTGTCCTGCTTGTACCAGCCCCCTCTGCCCTTACCTGCATTCTGTCCTTACAAGGTACAGCCTTCCCAGGTGCTCAAACTATGTGGAAAGCCCCGTAGAGCAGTGGTTTCAAGCCATTGGTCCATGGGTGATCTTCTGCCAGTCCATGGGGGGGGGGGAGTGCATCGCACTTGCCGCAGACTGGCGTGGGGGCTGGCTGTGCTCCACCACCTCTTCCCTGGTTGGCATCGCATTTGCAGGGGGTGCGCTGGTACCACCTGGGCAGGCAGGGAGGGGAGAGACGGCTCAGTGGGAGCCAGCTAGGAGCCACACTGTGCCAATTTAGAAATATAGAAACAGAGCGAGTCAGAAGCGGTCTCCGGGGCCATCTAGTCTGACCCCTGGCTCTAGCCAGCTCCACTCATGACATGCCTAACATGTGCATGTCTAGCCTAGCCTTGATTTTGGTATTTCGTTCTTTTGTTGGCATTTTTTTTGTTACTCGGTTTCTGATAGTTTTTGAGAATTTTCACTTTTTTGGAATTGTGTTTGGAAACTAACACAGAGAACACTGTATTGTGTGTGTGGTGCTTTTTGTTTCTGGCTCAGCAGTCCCCAAGGTGGTTTCCTGTTTTCGCTGGTCCCCAGCTGTGGAAAGGTTGAAAACCACTGCCTTAGAGGACTTAGCCGAAATTTCCTCCTCTCAGGGTTTCCAATACAGCTGCCTGCTGAATTCCTGAAATCAGAGAGGCAGTTTTGGTTTTGTATCTGTTGTTACTGGAAGTCTTCTAAACAACAAGAAGATGGAGAAGAACTCATTCAGTTTTCTAACACTCATCAGGCAGCGGCACAGGAAAATGCAGAGGAGGTTTTTCAAGAACCTGCCCTGCAAAAAGAGGCTGCAAGAGAGCAGGGTGATGGGGAGAATGGGAAAAGGACAGTCAAAGAAAGATCACGCTCACCCCTCAGCCACCTCCTCACAGGAAGGTAAGCACTGAAGCACCCTGATGAAATTCTCTGCAACTTTCCTCTGAAATGCCTTGCTCTTTCCCACAATTTTCAGGTGCAATTTCTTCCCCCACTCAAATGGTTGAAAGTAAGTAGACCGAAGAAGTTGGCATAGAGCTAATATTATCATCTGTACATTCACATATGCATGTGTGTGGGGGTGACTTTGCCTTTGGCCCTGCTCCTTTTGTCTTTGGATCCATCCATGATACATTCCCCTGAGAATTTCTCTGAAATTGAACTTGGATCTCAGAGCTGAAAGAGGTCACCCAGCATTGCATTAATGGCAGAAGGCTGGAAGACAAACCAATTCCCTCTTATGGGCCTTGATTCAAGGAAGGTCTCCTGTACAAGCTGCCCCCCCCCCTTAAAATTACACCTGAAGGCTAAGGTCAAAAGGCAGCTTTATGTCAGTAGGTCCATAATGGTTTAACCGTCTTTAGCTCAGTCAAGTGTAAAGCTAAAACACATTTCATGGATGAGCTCTCTAATAATAAACATATTCTCAGAAGCCATGAAAGTGGCAAAGCGGTTCCAGGTTGCTGTGTTAGGCCCTTCAGAGACAACATCACAGACTACGCTCCATATACTCAGTTTGATCTGATAAGCATGCAGTCGCCAGAAAACCCAGCCCTCGCTGCCTGAAATGGATGGCACCCCATACCTCTTCGTTGAGGATTTCCTGACACTGGGAGTAGTTGACACGGGTGGCCCAGCTTCCATTCGCAAAGCATTCTCTGTACACATTGTCTGAAAGGGGAAAAAATGCAGAGGAGACTGAGTGGGCTGGGAGCACAAAGCGGGCAACGTAAAAGACTGAAGCTCCGGCGGGCATCTCACAGAGTAAGATTCACTGACCATGCAAGGAAAATTATCCTTGGCCTTCTTAGTCGAACCAATTGCTTTGCTGGCTGGGGGAGTGAGAGGAACTGTAACCCAAGACATCTGGAAGGCGCTGGGATGGAGACTCGATCTAATAGGTTGCATAAATAAGGCAAGGAAGCTTAATGTAGAAGGGATGGGTCTTTAAGGACAAGGGAGCTGTTTTGGCTGCAGAAAGGGATGAGAAGCCAAATTGAGAGAATCGAATTGAGAGAAATTAATTATTTTGGCAATTTGCACATGTCTACTCATAAGCAATTTCCACTGAATTCAATGAGCCTTTCCTCTGCGATCCAGTGGGATATACTGTAATCTACATGGAGAAAAATGAGCCTAAAATGACATTCTTGAGATACACAATTCTACTGTTCACAACTGTTGCCAGGAA